CATTATTGATATTTTATATAAAAGCAAAAATTGAGCTGTTTCTGTCAAAATATTTGTTATTATGTACTTGGGTGTAAAATAATATATATTTTTTTAAATTTTATATGTGATTAAATCCGGCAAAAATGCGTTTCTTACAAATGCTTATATCAAGATATAAAAAGCCTACTTATACTTATATCTAGTGACCAAAATTACAGCTGGACAGCAATAAATTTTGTCCTGTGGAGACGCCCATTAAAGTGTGGATATAATTTTACAAAGTTAGTGATACCACAATAAAGTGCAAGCAATGCATTGTAGCCGTAAAGTTTTGTGAGAACCTTTCAAAGGTTGAATTTTTTGTCTAATGTCTGATTTGCACAAATCAGAGGTAGAAGCTCCGGTTAAATACGACTGCTTTATCGATCTCATGTTATAAGCATGGTGTCAAAAACGTCGATAATGATGTTTAACCGCCAAGTAGTGATAACCGGACATTGAAAAACCGGCCCTAAGTAATCGTATTACCTCTAGTGCTACTAATGAAGAAATATACATATCGATACCTCAACAGAAAACATATTGAAAATTTCATACTGTCTGCCGAGATAGGTCGACCTGCCACTCAGGTGCCGCTCAAGGTATGTCACAGATAACGTCTGAAAAATAATTTCGCTTTGTTTCATGTAAAAGGATGAAAAATTATCGATATAAATAGGTATCGCTACATTCGGTTCACTCATATAAGTAGTATCGAAATAGCGATTTGAGTAAACTCATTTGAGTAGGTATCGATACTTTGATGGTATCGGAACGTCCGATCGGAGCTTCGATGCATCCAAAACTGGTACCGGCGCAGTCTAGCGACGCTACAGAAAAACACTATAATTGTGGTGAATTGTCAGTACCCAAAACTCGGTACCCAATACTTAAAAAAGATACTTCCTTTTCGGAACCCGAAACCGATTCTTTAATTAATATTCGTCATTATATGCATTTCAAGTTTAGAAAAAATTGTTTTTTATATGATATCGGCGATATATTATTTTATCAGTTTTAGGGCCGGTTACTCTATGGCTGCATTTCTTTATTCATTCTGATCGTTTGGAATAAACTTTTTTGTTTACTTATTCTTTGAACGCTCCTGGTGATATATTAACGTATATTTCAAACGCATTCTGTTTATTCCGGATTATCCGGAATGTAAAAAGAACCGCAGTCTATGTCTCGTTAGCACTAATCTCTGGTTAAACTAGCTATTAACTATATAACTGTAACTATAACTATTATCGACGTTACTTCATATCATACGTCAACAAAACCGATACCGACTCGAAAATTGTCGCTAAAGGTGTTCTTACACTACATGTATTTGCATCTGCAAATGCGACTTTTTTAATACATATGTAATTGCGTATGTCTGTCAAAATCAAAGTCTTTGTTTAACTATTTAAAAATACGCTCTTTGAAAACGAAATAAACTAAACTCAAATGATTCTATCTGTGTGTCAGATGAAAATAGAAACAATTCTATTTCGTACGTACGTGCATCTGCTTTGTACAGAAACAAATCTAATTTGCCTTTACA